TTTCAGGTTATATAATCTCTTTTTTTTTTTTTTTTTCCTACTCTTTTCAGAGTAATTCTGCAGTCCAGTGTTCAGAAAAATAAAACCTCTGAACCTAGCATTTCTGACAGTACAAACATTACTAAAAGAACTACCAGATCTGCAGCAAGAAACAAAAGTATAAAAAGGTGAGAGCTACCCTCTTTAAAGATCCAGTAACTGTTCTGTAGACAAATACTTTTGAGCTGGTGTATCCGCTGCTGTTGTTAGAGGCTTTTGCCACAATTTAATTCCTCCTCCTGAAATTGAGAAATGAGAAGCAAGAAGCAGTTTTTTGTCTCATGTTATATACTGAGAATATCTAGAACTTTACATCTTACATGAATCAGATTATACTGCTGAGTCCTTCGAGTTTCAGAATTTTATATTCTTATTCCTAAAATGAGTAAGAACTACTGAAGTTAAGTGATTCTAGTATCCAAAAAAATCTTGTAATTATCAAATCTAATCTGGAATAAGAGAGAGAAAGTTGTTCACAGCATTCAGAGTTAGATTTAGCATGCAAAGTAAACTTGTGGACAACTGAAATGCAGTTGTGGGCAAATCCAGCTGTGGGTAGGTGAAGTGTATAAAATGCATATGTGGTGTGAGATTTCATAGTGGAGTATCACTGATTATCTGGTCTGAACTTGTTCCACAGAACTTAAGGAAATTTTAAATTTGGATGAATGTATACGAGGGTGAAAGTGTTTTTTGATGCAGAAGAATATGGCCCCAGTATTAATATGTTTCTACTGCATACACATGTGTTCATACCTCTCTGCAGTAGCTCTCCAAGACGTTATCAAAGATGAGCTTTAGAATATAACTTGATAGAATTTTCAAGTAATATTCAGTAGCTACTGATGAACAGAATCTGCCTTGGGCTTATAAGGAACAACTTTTGAATGGATCTACCAGGTGCTGAAGATATATTTTTTTCTTAGGAAGCAAAAAAGGTGGCAAATAACAGCAACAACAACAAAAAAAACCCACAACTCACAGACTCTAGTTTATGTGGCTTGCTTAATAAGTTTTGCTGAAAATTCCAGGTTTTTGTGCAGTTTTTCTTCCCTACATAGTTTTTGTTTTCACAACCTCACCCACTTTTGAAGGTTACAGACATTGTGAAAAATCCACTGTACTGGGCTAAGGAAGTAGTCTAAGTAATAGCAATCTGCAAGAATGTGCTAGTCAGAATTTTCATCAGCAGCTATATGAATTTTATGAATTGTATTTTGATTCATATAACATGTAGAAAAATATTTCATTTTTCCTGAAATATCTGTTTTCCTAAAAATCTTAAGTCTTTCTTGGAGTTTTACTGAGAAACTCCATTCTACATTGTTTTCACCATGCCAGTTTTGCTCCAGATAGACTGATGGGATTCCCACAGCTGTTTTTATTCTTCATAAGTTTTAATCTACTTGCAGCTCTTCATAGTAGTATACTTGATTGAACACGTATATTCAGTTCCTGGAAAACCTTTAAGTAGATGGTTGTGTTATGAGGGATCAGACTACCTATCCATAGGAGGAAACAACATTCGCAGAGCAAGGAAGATTTCAGTTATGTTGAAATAAATGCTATGTATGTGTTGACAGATTTATGACTCAGAGGGCCAAGGATCAGGTTTCAAATTACCTCACATTTGATAAAGCATTTCCTGTTTTAATGTCTTTTCTAAAACTTCTACCCCAAATATTTCATTCTATATACTGTTTCTTCTAACATTTGTGATAGAAGAGTGTCAGTGAGTTCATGTTTGAATTGCATAGTCACAGTGGCCCTAAATATTTGTTCTCACAGTTCTGGAGTTCTTAATTATCTTTTCATCTTGGAGAATTAATTGGGTACTCATCCCTCTAAAGACTATTTCAGTAAGACTATTTATATTCCAGATTTCCACTTAGTACCTTGCTATTAATTCTGTAGATGTCCTTTTATTAGTGTGTTTGGCAAAACCTTACTCAATTTTTTTAAGCCTTGCTTTCTTTTTTCATGCTTTTTCAGGAACATCTGCAGCTAGGCCACTCAGAGCCTGTTGCTCAGAGCCTGTTTCAGCCTAGCCTTGAATATCTCTAAGAATGGAGCATGCAAAACCTCTCTGGGCAGCCTGTTCTAGTGCCTCACCACCCTTATTGTCAAAAACTTATTCCTTATATCCAATCTAAATTTTCTCTCCTTTACTTTACAGCCATTTCCCCTTGTTCTCTCAGAGCAGGCACTGCTAAAAAGTCCCTTCTTTCTTCTAGTCCTACTTTAGATATTGTAAAGCTGCTGTCAAGCCCCCCTGGAGCCTTCTCTTCTTCTCCAGGTTGAATCACAGAGTAATAGAATAAAAAAGTGATTTTGATTGAAAGGGACCTTTAAGATCATCTAGTTCTAACCCCAACTGGTATAGGCAGGTATATCTCCCTCTAGACCAGGTTTTTCAAAGTCCTGTCCTGCCATGTCTTGAATGCTTCTAGGGAGGGGGCATCCACAAACTCTATGGACAACCTGTTCCAGTGCCTCACCACCCTTCACAGTAAAGAATTTCTTCCTAATATCTAGTCTAAACCTACCCTCTTCCAGTTTAAGGCCATTTCCCCTTTTCCTCTTGCTACCTGCCTTTACAAAAAGCTCCCCCCCCCCCCCCCCCAGCTTTCCTGTAGGCCCCCTCCAGGTACTGGAAGGCTGCTATAAGGTCTCCTCAGAGACTTTTCTTCTCCAGGCTGAAGAACCCTAACTTTCCCAGCCTGTCCACATAGGGGAGTTGTTCCAGCCCTCTGATCATGTCTGTGGCCCTCCTCTGCACCTGCCTCCAACACTCCATGTCAAACAGCCCCAGGTCTTTCCACCTGTCCTCACAGGGGAGGTGTTCCATCCCTTGGATAGCTTTTGTGAGCCCTCCTCTGGATGCTCTGCAATGACACCATGTCTGTTCTGCGCTGAGGACTCCACATCTGGACACAGTACTTCAAGTGAGGCCTCACGAGTGCAAAGTAGAGGGGCAGGATCACTCCCTTCAACCTACTGGCCACGTTTCTTTTGATGTAGCCCAGGATATTGGCTTTCTGGGCTGCAGGAGTACATTGCTGGCTTATGTCCAGCAATGTGTACCATCCACCAGTATCGCCAAGTCCTTTTCAGCAGGACTGAGCTCTATCCTTAATTACCCCAGCTTGTACTGATAAGTATTGCCACTACCCAGTTGAAGTCTGTGAAGTTTGTATTAGCTCACAGTACATAAATAGATTGACCTTTTCCAGATAAATTGAATGCAATGTAGAGGGAAATCATTACTGTTAAAACACTGAGATTGTGTCCTAACCAACATCTACCTTTGTCAAGGTTCTGTTGCTTTCTCTGAATGTCTGATATTAGTGTGGACCTTTATTCTTCTCTTGACTTGCCAGTCTGTTGTATTCCAGTGGAAAAATCTTGCACAGTTTTTATACAAAACTTTTTTGTTGATGCTCCAGGCCATTTTAGTCAGTTTTTACTCCAGATTAATCACTTTTTTTTGACCCATCATTACGCAGCATAATCAACAGATCTGAATTTACCATTCCATCCTTCTAACTTTTGGACAGTTATCATATAAAATGTCCCTAGAATGGTACTTCAGCCAAAGTAGTCATTTGCAGTTAAAATATTTTGTTCTGGTTTTGCATAGTGGTCTTAGAGAATTTCAGTATATTGCTCACAATGTTCATTATATTTCCGTTGTGGAATGTCTCGAGATGTCAGCTGCCATCTACAAAAGACAGTACTGGTGGGCATAACACATTATCTGTTGTGACTGAAATAACGTTGTGTAACTGCAAGACACTGCATGACTAAAGCATTCTCCACAGTTTTTTTTCTGTGGTTGTCCTTATTCTAATCTTTTTTCTCCATTGAGGATAATATGCCATGTAAATTTTTGAGTTACTGGGAATGAAGCCTGTTTGTGTTTGTATCTTAACAGGATGCATATAGCAGATTATCTTTAGGACAGATGGGTCATTTTCCTCTCCTATTTCCCTCCTCACTTTCTTGCTATCAAATCGCTTTTAGTAGAACAGTGTGCTATATCAGCTGAAAGGTGAGATGGAAGAAGATTCTCAAAATCTTAACTCTTAACGTAAATAATCATTGCCTAGACTTGATCCCAAAGTACGTGAAGGACTGGAATAGCATTCTTCTTAGACAGATAGCTGGACTAGCAGAAATAGTGTTCTCTGCAGGATAAGAACCCTGTGCATTTTGGCCAACAAATTGATACTTCAGAAATTCCCAGACCAAATGAAACATAGTAAGGCCCAAATGAAGCAGTTTTCTCTGTTTTATCATCTTAAAGATTTAGAATTATGTACATAACAAGTAATTGGTTAGAAGTGAAATCTTGAATGATCAAAGAATTTTGGTAGCTAGAGCTGCTAAAGAGAATATGGAGGTCAAGTTATTACAGAAAAAAAAAACACTTGAGAAGACAGGAGAAAATGCATGAAAATGTGGTATAGATTGTTTTACTTCTTTTAACAAGAGAGGATTATGCTTTTGCAATCTCATGTGCTTTTACTTTATTGGAAATTGTAAAAGGAGCTGTCTGTGCCATTGCTCATACATTGAAAATTGCCTGCAGCATTTCAGAGCTAATCTATGTAATATAGGTCTAGCTTGAAAAATATTAATGTTTCTCTGCTACTCTTTCTACTTTTCCTTCAGTCTGATACATCAGAGGGAGAGAAGAAAAATGAATACTTTACAGCAATTGTACTTAATGAAATTGTTTCTTTTTTGTTTGAAACTGAGCCTTTCTTCATATTCTCTGCGAACACACTGGTCTGTGCTTTCTTTACAACTGATATTGCTGTGTTTGTAAATGCTGTGACTTTTACAATGTCTCTTTTTTGAAATACAGTTTAATTGTTTTATCTTGCCAACAATATTAGCTTCAAATAATTTTTTGGGTACACATTTCAATTTTTTTCCTCAAATATGTTTTATTTCAGCAGCCAGTCCACCACAAGAACTAGAACAGTATTGCGTTAAAATTTCAAATTGGCAAGCAGTGTTGAAAGGGGATATCCAGGCATGAAGGGGATACAACTTGAAGACACTTGATTGCAGTTCTAGGAAGATGTCTTTGGCTCCACTTAAGCAGAAGAAACTCATTCATACTTGTAAAATAAAACTGGCAACATGCTTGGCATACAGTTTCTTAATTACTAATACTTCCTCAAGCAAAACCAACAAAATAGTGTAAATTCAGACTCAGGTGTAAATACTTGAGCTCTCTATTGTAAAGAGGGCTCCCTACCATATATGATGCATGTGCATAAAATGTGATGGCAATCACAGCTGCTGACCACCAGAAGTGAGAAAATGGTGGGAGTTTTTAATATGTAAATCTGTGTTGTTCATTCAGATTGGACTTAGGTCTCCACTTGAGACTGAAACTCTACCACGGAGGTTTTTTACTTATAGGATTGGTACTCTCTTGTGTTAACTGGCTATTCTTTCTTATTTTATATGAATTTTTTTTTATGAAGTCCTGGTGTTGAGAACAAAGTAACTATTGTCCACCAAAGAGTGCTTTATTTTCAAAGACTGTGATTTTTTTTAAATTTTAATTTTGGGGGAAAAAAAAAAAAAAAAAAAAAAAAGCCAACTGAAAGCAATTATCTTGTTTTTAATAGCGATAGATTTTCAGTTGTTCCCAACCACTGGCTCTTTTATCTATTTGTAATTGCTTTAAATCCAGTATGATTGTAAGAAGGAGGAAAAACATTTAAAGCAGTGAAATGTCATTACTCTTTCTTTTCATATCATCACATCTTTTAGATAAATCTTTAGATTACAATATCTGAAAGATAAGATGTTTTTGGCAGGATGTATTGGTAGATTTAATAAGTTACGAATGTTACTGGCTTTTTGCTTGAATGTACTTAATGAGTGCAGCACATTAAAAAAAAAAAGAAAAAAGAAAAGAAATATACACTTCCTGTGCAACTGAAATTGATAATGGAACTCTGGAGCAGATACAGTTGGGAACATCTAATTACAATGATTAAAAAATTATTACTTACTTCTCAGTTAAAAGCAATGAAATTTTTTTTAGCAATCTGAGATTGAAATTTTCATCCACTGCAAGATTTTCAAACACAGTGTTTTTTCCCTTCTGCATTTACATTATGAAATATGTCTCAAAAGCTTGCTTTGAAGTGAGGCATCCTTACTTCCTGGAAATTTATAGCTGCATTTCCCTCAAATGAGAACTGCTGCCACATAGACTTAGATGGAATACAGTTCTCTCTTCGTTTTGTAACTCTTACAAAAAAGAGGAGTAGAAAAGGAGATCTGGAATCATAGAATCATAGAATCCTTAGAGTTGGAAGGGACCTTTAAGGGCAATGTAGTCCAATTCCCCAGCAGTGAAAAGGGACATGTACAGCTAAATGTGGTTACTCAGAGCCTAGTCCAGCCTAGTCTTGAGTGTCTCCAGGGATGGGGCATGCACCACATTTTGTTGCAACCTGTTCAAGTGCCTCACCATCCCTACTGTAAAAAAAGACTTTTTCCTTATATCCAACCTAAATCTACCTTCTTTAAGTTTGAAACCATTTCCTCTTGTCCTGTCACCACAGAGCCTGCTAAAAAGTCAGTCCCCTTCTTTGTTGTAGCTTCCGTTTCGACACTGAAAGGAAGGTGTTCAGACCTTTGGATCATTTTTGTGGCTCTCTTCTGGATGTGCTCCAGCAAGTCTGTGTCTCTTCCATACTGAGGACTTTGCATCTGGATGAGGTGAGGTCTCTCCAGAAGAGAGTAGAGTGGCCAGATTGCCTCCTTCACCCTGCCAGCCATGCCTCTTTCAGTGCAGTTGGGTATGGTTGGCCTTCTGGGCTTCAAGAGCACAGTGTTGTCTCATGTTCAGCTTGCCACCAACCAGTACCTCCAAGTCATTTTTGGCTGGGAATTTTAGCAACAGAATAACTTAAGTTTTTAAATGATCCAGATTATATTTGCAAGGGGAAGGATTTTCTTTCTATGAAGAAAGGATTCTTTTCAAATGAAAGGAAGTGTTCTGTTACACCAGTAGTTTCTCAGTGCCACTATGAATAACCACACATGGGTTTGAATACATTTTGTTGGCTAAAGAAGAGCATTGTGAGTTGGAGAGTATGCAGAATGTAAAATGTATGGTGACATCTGTGAGTGTAAATTTATATGTATGTATGTATGTATACTTCAGATTTGCAAATATGAGCACAAAATAGGTTTGTATGGTGCAAGATAAGGAGCACTGAGGCTTATACCCTGTTTTTTTTGTTTGTTTGTTTTCCAATTAATTTTCACAATCTCTTTCACTCTCTTCTAAGTGAAAACCACCCAAAAAATGGGACAGAACTCACTCCAATAGTGATAAAAATTTTATTACCTTTTTTTTTTTTTTTACTTTTTTGACCTCCTTCACCAAAATGGCAATAGATGGTGTGTTGTGCAAAAGTTAATCTCTTTATTTTTGAAGAAAATTTCCATCTTGAAAATTTTATGAGTGAACTTACTTGCAAATCTTAAAAGGCAGGAGGGAAAGGATGAAACTAATGAGATGTAAGGATGAGAGTTAAAACAAGTAAGATCTATTGATAATGTTTTGGCCTTACTATTCTCTTAGCTGAACTTCTTGATCTAAAATTTATCAGCATATTCCAAAGCCCTTCAAAATTCTGAGTTGGAATTTCCATTTTTTAAAGTAATCAGCAAAGCAGTTAGTACTCAGAAGTTAATCAGAAGCAAATTTGCATGAATTGTACACCGCATGGCAACTCAAGTTAAACCAAAACTGTTTGTCGTGAATATGTTTGAGGCTACCCCATCCAAAAATGAGTATCATGCTGAGAAACACCAAAGTGTCAGAGTATCAGAAATAAACATGAAAATTCTCCAAGCAATCTTATATGGTGAATTAATCTGTTAGCTCATTGCGTCTGATCTAATTATATTGCTTTGTCTGTCCAAGTTTTTAGTATTTTGTCTTCTATGTTTACTATGCCATACCAAAGCTGTCTTAAGTACAATTATGAAGTAGTAGCCATGGGTGAGGGAGTTTGTGGTTTCCAAGTCTGTTTTGAAATGTGCAGTACTGTGTGCCAAAAAGGAGCACATGTATGACAGCAGTGCAACAGAGCAGCTGAAGGAACTTATTTCTGCTATGACCAATTAGCAGTTTTGGATAAACTTAAAAATTCTTTCTACTCTTTCAACATGCAAGATGGATTCTTCTGTGATCTCTGCAACATATTCAATAGTTGTCTATCTTAGGTCTAATTGCTAGCTTCCATTACAGCATCAGTATAGTCATAGAAGCTAAATCAGACCATGTCCTTTTGCCCCAGGACAATAGAAAAAGTGCTGCTTTAAAAAAAAATTAAAAAAAATAAAAAAAAGTAGGTACATGCATTAAAATGCATGCATTAAAATGCAGCGAAGAAAAAGTTACATTCACTGATTTGTTGCACTGCAGTTTTTATATTAGTAGTTTGCAGACTGTGTCTTGTGTAAACTTGTGTACAGACTATCAAGATCTAGAAGTCTTCGACTAATGAGCACTATTCATCTTGATTATTTTTAAATTGTATATTTCTAATCTTATTTTTTTAACTTGGATTGATAGAATGGGAATTTATTTTGCTGGAGGTATTTTTAAGATAAAGCTTCATATTATCTTGTAATATCAAATAGCTCAATATGCATTTGTGTCTCATTTGAAAATAGTGCATATTGTATTTGATTTTATACAAAATATTGAATAGTGAGAATTGTAAACATGAATTACGTAAAATTAAAAATAATAATCAGAAGTTTGTGTGTTCACTTTTGTTTCCAATATTCTGAAGGAACTCATCTAAGACCACATTTGTATGGGTCTGACCACTTTGTGCTCATAGAAATAATGAAAGAATCTCACTTGCCTAAAAAGGTAAGTTTTTTAATTAAAAAGCACAAATCTCAAAATATTGCATTTTAAATATAATTTTTGGCTCTGCGTTTGAGGGGACTGACTTCAGAATATAACAGTAATTGTACTCAAATAGTTGGGACACTCTTAGCCAGTAAAAAACTGGCTTCTAACTTAATTTGTCTTCTTTATGTATGGTAGTGTAGCACTCATTTTTTTTGGAAATTGGTAGAATTTGAAATACCATTTACATGTAAATGGTGGTAGTGGAAATGGAAAGTGAAGATTTCTCAAAACAAAAATTTTTAGAATCATTTACTTTTACCTAAGTTATGAGGGTCCATGAAAAGGGAAGGGAGGAGAAGGAGAAGGGGAAGTACGTAATTATTCCAATATTTATTCTTACCTTACATATTTAAGAAAAAGCAAAGCATGTGCACCTTGGACAGAATGTATCTGACAGATGAGTAAACTCTCACTTGCTCCAGAAAGGGATGTTCATATTTGCTTGGAAAATCTTTGTGTTCATCAATTGTAAGGTTACCCTTTCTGTGCTTGTGTAAATGTTTAAACCACTTCTTCATTTGCTAGTTGACTGCTGAAGAGTGAACAACAGGTTCTGCCTGGAATACGTCTGTGTTTGCATGTGATCACCACAGCAAAACACCACTAATCCCTTTGTAGACATGCAAGCACAGCACAGGCACTGGACAGGGAAAGGCAAAGGACCAAAGCACAATACAGAGGAACAGCTGAACAGTAACCAGGCCAAGGTTTTGGCAACGTTATGCACCGCAAGAATAACCTGTGTACAGTATTTCTGAAGCTTACTTTGATTTGGCACTTTCCAGCCTCCTTTATGGGTTCTGCACAGCCCATGTAGGAGCAGAGAACACTGCAGCAAAACTGATGTACTGTCTTTAGAAATATTCAAGGCTGAGCTTACTGAAAACAGAAACACTGTGAGTTTTAAAACTAAATAGTTAAGAGGAAGGTGCTTGGTCTTTGTTTTTTATTTATTTTTGCATGAGGGACAGGGCGAAGGAAATTCAGAAATTCAATCCCTTTAGTAACTGCCTCCACTCTTCATAGTCCTTCCCAATATACAAGGCTGTTACAAATCTGGCGAAGACTGCACTGCCCAGACAGCCTAAGCAGCAGTTGCTGTTGGTCACCCAGCTGCAGGTGCGTGCAGTGGCTGCATGCCAGCAGGTGCACACCACTTCCGTCTCACAGCCATCCCTGATTCCCAGCTCCTCCAACTCCCTTATCTGCTGCACACAAGTTACGCCATCAACCAATAAAAAGCTCGTTCTTATGCCAACAGGACAGAGGGAGCAGACATAAATGTCTCTTTGGCAGAAGATACCGTTAATGCAGGAAAACCCAAAATGACTGCTGCTAAGAGCGAGAAGATTGCCATTAAAGACAGTGGTTGTTTCCACGGTATTCTTCATAGTGGAAGGGCTCAGCTTTCTCATCGCCCCTTCTTCATTAGGTTTCCTACTAGGCCCACCTGGCTTTCCTCCCACATTTGAGTTCTGTCAACACAATTCCTTGTTCTTCCCAAAACATCATGCTTCAAGACTGTGTCTTTACAACATGCAATACTTCTGGTGTCATGCTTCTAGGTGCTTTTTTTGTCCACTTCTGCCACTCTACTTTGTTTCTGAAATAAAATGTTTAATGTTGCTTCCATACTTAAAGAACTCCTTCATTTAACTGAAAGCTTCATAGAAAACGCCCACCAGAAAGTTATCTTCTCCCAAGGAACACAACCTTTGTTAGAGTCAGGAGAAACACCAGAAAACAGGATTTGATCTATTAAAAAAAAAAAAAAAAAAAAAAAAAAAACACAAAAAAATACAACCAACAAGCTCCCACCAAGTCCAGAATTCCTGGATTCTATGAGCAGCGTGTCAACTTACTTTTTCTCATCAGAAGAGAGTAATCCAAGACCTTGTGTCTGCTTCCTTTACCTACAGAAAAGCTGTCCTGACATTTCATTGTGTTAACTCATTATCTCTTTGTCAAGTACTTAGTAGTGTACAAATCTAGACAGAGAAACCTTTGTTTGGAGCTGACAGCAGCGCACAGTCAGCTACAGATAAAACAGACAGCTGAATGCAGAACTTTTTTTTTTTTTTTTACACTGGCTACTCAGGCAAGCAAAAACGTTATTGAAGTTATTAAGCTGGTGTTAATCAGAATGCTGCCATTAAAAGTGATGCAGTACCTAAAGCTGTTCTGTACATTCAGCCATCTGAAACATTTTTTGCATCATATCCTCAAAAAGGTGTTTGTGAACAGGTAACACCTGAAGGTTTTATGTAATTCTGAGTAGCAGAGTTGAAGAGTGGCAGTTGTTACTTTCTTGAGTCCAAAGACTGAAGATCCCACCCCACAAATTGTTCCATGCTTGCCCAGCTGGTTACTGAAAGAGAAGATCTCTAATTCTATGCCTGTTCACTCAGTGACATATATGAATGGACACTTTCTGCAGATAACCTTGGAGCATGTTCAGTGGTTGGTCAACATTACATTATTATCAAATTGCGTTTGTGCGTGTGAATACATTACTCCTTGTATGAATGTGCCTATATATACACATGTTCCTGTGACAGCTATGCAAAACTAAAAAAGGAATGGCTTAAGCATGTTGTAAGAATCCAATTGATTATATCTGTCCAGATTCAGACTGGCTATGAGTGGTATCCCCCAGGGGTCAATTGGGTAAGCGGAGGAAGTTGTGATTTTGTCAAATTTCACAACGTCAATTATTGATATGAGACTGCTTTGGTCTTGGGAAGAAAATAAACACATCACATTGCCTTAATGGGTAAAAGAGCCATTAAGAGCAGTTGCATGGTTTCTCCTCCCTTTCCAGAACACTCAGAGAAAACAGTGCCTTTAACTAGCACCCCTATTCCTTCTCATGTCTTTTGGATACACTTAATGGTAAAAAACATTTGATACAGATGAAAAATCAGAAATTCTCAAGTGGGAAATAAGTACCCCAGTACTAAATGAAAAATAATACATGTGCATACAAAGGTGCAATTCCCAAACATTCAAAATAAAAAAAAAAGGATAGTTTAAGCAATCTAGTTTATTTAGGAAATTATTCAAGGCATGTCTCAACTATAGGAAGGAAGTACAGCAGTTGGATGGTCCCCCAAAAAGAAGCTAGTATTGGATATGTGAACATAGAAAAGTACTACTGCCAAATTTGCACTCCAGCAACTATAGTCCCTACAGTAACTATTAATCTGCAAAGTGAGGAACAAATACAACCTTCCTGAAAAGAAGCAAAAGAAATAATTCCCCAACTAAAAGTAGCTCTGCATTTCGCTGTTTTGCCAGATGGTTTGTCCTGGGGTTAGGAGTCAGTAAACTGGAAAAAAAAACATTAGTAAATATCTCTGTAATGATTGAAACAATTGCAAGCAAAAACACAGATGCAGTCAGAGCCCTCCAAAAGGAAGTTCCACAATTATAAAAAATTTAACATTAAAAGGAGGATTGTGTGTGGGTCACAGTGGAATATCATCTTCATATTTGTATGACATCTAGAAATTTGAAGGAAAACTTGAATGAAATTCTAGGTTTAATACTTATTGGAGTAGCATCATCCAAGTGTCCTTATGCTGCAGTTCAACATGGCATGGAGTGCTGCAATACAATGTTCCAGAACAATAGGGAACAACTGTCAAAGATTTTAACAATACAGAAAGAGAAGCCATCTATGTCAAGATACAAGAGTAGAAAAGGTATAATGAGAGACACAAAGTCTCTCATCAAGAATAATTTATGTTTCACAAACATCAAATAGCCATTTTTGGCAGAACTACTCAAAAATATTCTAGAAGAATAGCCAGAGTTAAGGAGTAAGTCTCAAGCTGCAGTTGAGGTTATTTGGCTCAGGTTCAGAAACAGGAAGACTGCAAGGAAAGGACAAGGCCATCTCATCCTCAATGCCACACATACTATTTGTTAAGGCAAGAAACATAGCTATGTCAGTGAAGGGTTAGAGTGGGTATTAGGAAAATACCCTCTCTTCATGAGAGGGTGATCAGGCACTGGAACAGGTTTCCCAACATCATGGGCCCAAGTTGATGGATTTCAAAAGGTGCTTGGACACTGCTCTCAGACACAGGGCTTGAATTCTGAGTGGTCCTGGGTAGAGGCAGGAGCTGAACTCAATGATCACTGTGGACTCCTTCCAACTTGAGATATTTACTATTTTAGTTTGTAGTTTCTCATGCAGTAAACAAATTTCTTCTTTAATGACTTATTTCTGTCTTCAAAATTATTTTATTTCACTGACAATAGCTGCAAATAGCATTTTCTCACTGAACAAACAATTGTTAAAGTTACCTGTTAAAAGCAACCAAGCTGCTGTCTTAAAATCATTTCTGTTCAGGGATATTTTTCAGGCACGTAAGATCAGCTCTTTGTTGCCAAACAGCAGAGGCTTCAGTCTCTGACTCATAAAAATAATACCTCAAACTCAAACCAGTAAGCACTGTGTTTTATTTGCCAAACTCTCAAGAACTGCAACTTGTAAATGTGTAAAATACACTTCAACCAAAGAAACAGAAAGTAGCTTTCATATCTCAAAATGAAACAGACTCCTGATGGCAAACCATGTCATACAGTTTCACTAAGCTGCCAGGAAGAACTTGACATAGTCTCTACATTTTTAAGCACTGTACTCTTGATGTTCATTCAAAGCCTTATACTTGAGTACTGCAATCCTTCATACAGCTTTCAGAAATGGAGGCAGGCACTAGGCCCTATAACAGAATTCCAGACCACTGTTGTCTCCAGAACTCGCTTCCATTAATGTGTTCAAACATTTCACACATGAAAAAAAAAAAACAAAAACCCATCAACCAAAACAGCTTTTCCAGTAGACTTGGACTTTTTTTTTCCTCCGCACCAGTACAGACCTGGTTTCTTTAGAGCTGCACCAAAGCTCCGTTGATAACACCATTCATGATATTTGTTTCATGTTAAAGCAGGAAAATCTTCAGGATCATCTGGATTTGGAGCAAAAATTTGAACCTATGGAGTGAGAAAGGAAGCTTTACAGAAGTGAATAGATTTTAAAGCATCTGAAAGCTACATATAAGTATGTATTTACCTTGAAAAAATCCATTGTTTTATTTAAAGTAAATGCTTCATAACCATCTCTATCACAGAAATACTAATTTTATCCAAGAAATTATGACTGCTATAATTGATACAACATGAACATATTTATAATACTGAGTAGGACCATATTTTGTAGTATAAGGTGGGATAGGGAAAGTGCAACAATCTCATCCACAACTTTTTTTAGAAGAAACATTTTTTTTTTTTTAAAAACTTTCTAAGGCTACTGAATAGTCTGTAGTTTGTGATACAAAAAGCATTTTTCATTCAGATGAAGCAAACACAAAATCTTTTCCATACCACTTTGTAAGTTCCCTGATGTAACCATTTTACTGCTTTAGGTACAACTAACTGCAACTTTGGTGATTACGAAGAATAAAGGTATAATTTTTTTTTTTTTTTTTTTTTTTTTTTTTTTAGGTAAGCAGATTTTTTTTTTTTCTTCCTAAAAAGCCAGTGGAAGTTCTTTAGATCAACACTTTAGAAAGTAATTAAATTTGGGTTGAATTAAAGATGCTGTTATAATTAGAGTTTATTTGCACATGTCCCATTCACCTACTGGAATGCCCACTGGTACAGAGAGACTAAAGGTCTGGCAGTTTTAAAAACAGAGTCTACAAGGTCAGTATCAGCTCCTCTGACAGAGTAGGTGTTTAAATGAATAGTTAGTGCTGGCAAAAAATAAATGGAAGCATGAAAACTTTATCTTTTTAATTATTGTCTGAGCCGTTTACACGTTATGTAAGCCACAAAGAACCTAACCTTGATGAAACTTTTCTATAAAGTTACAGCTCTATCTCTTTTCTCTTTTACCCTAAGGGAGGGTAGATTTAGGTTTGAGATAAGGAATAAAATCTACATGAGGATGGTGAAGCACTGGAACAAGTTGCGCAGTGATATGGTTGATGCCCTGTGCCTGGGCAATCTAAAGACAAAGCCAGATAAGGCCCTGGGCAACCTGATCTAGATGTGTTGTCCCTGTTCATTGCAAGGGAGTTGGACTACGTGGCCTTCAGAGCTTCATTCAACTCTCTGAGGACTCTATGATTCTATACAGAACTGAAATTTCTTGCTATATAGGAAGTCTTCATCATGTTAATAACTTCCTAATTTATATCAAACATTCAATGAGGAAAGAAATGTTCACTGCATCCACAGCAGCTGGTAATCCAGCCATCAGAAATGTATGTGTTAGAGCTCCTCAGCCAGAATCAATATTTCACCTGAAACAACTTGGTATGGGTCAGGAACTGAAAATAACCAGGCCAACATACTGTGAGGTGGGCAACAGAAACAAGTCTCTTACTCTAGAAACCCCTCCAGAATAGAGGGGGAAGAGGGAAAGGACAATTACCACCAAAAAATGTTGCCAAGCAAACAAAACCTACAGAAAACTTTACCATTACTTCTGGTTGAGATCGTGTCTCCTCAACTTGTCTGCCGCAGCCACAACCTCGTGCTCCTCTTGATCCACGGCCAGGGCGAGAAAGACTCCCAAAGTTGATATCAAGCTGAGATGTTATATCATTCACTGCCCTTCGAAAAATCTGATAATCATCTTCAAGCTCTCCCTTTTGTATCTAGAAAAAACGTGTGATTAAGGCTCGTAATTTCCATATACAGCCTTCTACCCTCCCTGACACATTTACATACACACGTATTACAAAATAAGCAGCAAAAAAAAATTAAGATGATATCTGGAATAGGAGACAGGCTTCAACTTGCACAGCATTTGAACAAAAGTGAGACAGTTGCAGCCTCCCAGATACCTGGTATAGTTTTGTTTGCTCAGAGAGTCCTTGAAGCAAGGTCTGCCATACTGTATAGCTCCACAATATTGAAGTTTGCAGCAATATAATCTATAAGGCTTCCCTAAGGAACCAGAGAATCAGGCCTAACCTACTTACTCCTACAATTACCTTCAGCTAATGGTTAAAAGGACAGAAACCACAGCATTTGGTTACTAGCCAATATATATATATTTAATATATTTGTCTGTAACTATGAGATTCTCTTTTAACTCTCAATATTCCTAGTTCCTAGTGTATTTAAGATTGCTTCCCACCACAATTTTAACATGCACTGAAGTTAACATATCTGTAAACTCATCCCATACTGTAAAGAATCTCTCATTTTAAAACACTTTTGATTTGTCTTTGTTATGCAGTTTCTGTATCTCTTTTACATTCATTTTGACAAAGTCACTTGGTATTGCTAGCCAAGAAAGTTTAGGAGCAATAAGAACAGCATGCATTTCTCATACTTTCAGAACTTGTGAAAGTTATTCTCCCCAGTGCATCCTCTCATCCCAAAGGAAAGGGCAATGGTATCCATGAGCACCAAAAGCCATGCTAGAAAGGATGCAAGCAGCTTCTGTATTTGTCTGTACCGAGAAGAACTCAGTGACCTACAGTGATTATGACTCACAAAGAAAAGCTGCATGTTTCAGTGTTATGAGTAGACAAAGAATACAATGTGTATTGCATACGTGCACACAGACCTTAATCAAGGATCACAGTTTCATCATGCTAGGTTACAAGGACATACATATACTTCTGCGACCCTCAAAATCTACAATCTAAGCTAGCAGGAATATAAGCAAATTCTCATGCTTCTCCTCAGCACTTCCCAATCATATTAACAGAAGTACTTCCTGAAACAGCCCGACAGACACCATGGAAAAAAAAAATGGGAAAAGCAGGGAGAAAGTGTATCACTATAGAAGAAGGTCTCCAGAGTTCTTTTAAGAAATAGGACCATAACACTGGAAAAAAGTATGTAATCCAAGTGCACAATGGAATCTGGGGTCCAGAACAGATGAGAAAATTGACACTTAGCATCCAGACTAACAGAGGCCAAAATAGATGCCATATCCGTGCAAACATGTACTGATAGTTTAGCTAAATACAGTTCCAAGGTAGGATAAGAAGTCTTTATAAGACAAGTTTCTCTTGTGGCACTACTGGAGATCTACATGTGTGGCAGCAATAAGGAAACAAGTTTTATATTGCTAAGAATATACATTTTAAAGCAGAACAACTTAATATATTACATGCCTGCATATAAAATATATTTTGACCTGAGAGAAAAATGAACAGACAATAAGTGTCAGGCAAAATTTAAGGCACATACATGAATACAGTAACAAAGTTCAGATACTATTTTGGGTTCAGATTATACTAAAACTAGTGGAAATCAAGGAGAGTTTCCTCAGCATAAAGCAAAGTTTACAGAATTCCACAGGTAATGCTTACATCACTGCTATATTTTGACTTGTGAATCACCACTGCTTTGGAAGGAACAGTGGATTCTGGCCTCCGGATGTTGAATTCATGCTTCGGTCGATTCTGTTGCTGAAGATTTTTCCACTCATCTAATGTCATTTCTTGAACTACTTCTTCCATTGGCTTTCCTTCAGCAACTCTAAGGGTTTGTAGTTGTAAAGTAAAACCCATTAGCTTATAATATGCCAGGATGAAAGAGAACATTAATCTCTAAAGTAAGTATAGTAAACAGAACACATGGAATGTTTCTCACCAAATTACAGTCCTCAATTTTACTTACAAGCTGTAGTAACTTGGTGTATGACTTTTACATTAACCTAACTTGTAAAATACACCTATGGCCTGCATGAAATTAGTCTTACAAGCAAGAATTTCCTCCCAACTATTGGACTAAGTTCTGGTATTTCTCCAGTCTTACTGTAAGTTGAAGCATTGCAGATTCTACAACAAATCACTCTGCCTTTTGGTCTAGGATATTCTCAACTCTGTTTCAACAGTGAATCTACTTTTAGCAAATACAGCCACAGTTGTGAGGTCTAATATTCACACACTTCTTCTTTGATTTGTCAGGTTACACAAGGGCAGTGTCTACCACCTGCCTAAAACAGATTAAACCTAGTACAGTTTCAATTTGTCACAAAGCACAATAACGCTGATATGCTAAAGGAAAATGCAAGCAGATCAGTCAGCTTTGCTTATTTTTGATGTGTGAAAACAGAAGACAATGTCTAAGACTAAGAGCTTCTCAACATATCGTTTGACTATTCTTTATACCAGCACCAGGAAAATGCTATAAGTTTTTTAAACAGAACCACTTGCTGCTTACAGTACACTCACAGAATGTACCATTTAAGTTATCAGCAGAAAACTATTCCCTCCTAAACAGAGACAAATGCAGGAAGTACAACTCCTTCAATCATAATTGTTAAAATAAACAAACACTATAAACTACAGGACACTGTAAACTACAATAAACACTATAAACCACAGTGTATCTGTTGATTCCCAGATCCTTAAAATCTGATCCATCCTTCTCCCACCCAAAGCTATTACACATAGCAACAGAAGTTGATGTTCGTTAAGCATTTTCCTAACACTGATTATTCCAGAAAACCTTTTCATTAGGTCCCTTCTCATAGGAGAAATACAGCTTTCCTTCCTTTCATTGGATCCCAGGTTTCATATTTTTTCTAACAAATGCTGATTACCAAGAGCAAATTTTTTTAATATAAAAATGCAGTTGTTTAGGTGCAATTTGGAAATTCACTTTCTTAAAATGGCTTGGATTGGAAGAGACCTTGGAGATCACTGAGATCGAAACTCCCTGCAATGGGCATGGCTGCCACCACCAGATCAGGCTTCAAAGGGCCCCATTCAATCTAGCCCTGAACTCACAGACAGAGCATCCACAGCTTCTCCAGGCAGCCTGTTCCAGTGCCTCACTGCCCTCTGAATAAAATTAATTCTCCTAACATCTAACCTAAACCTCCTCTCTTTCAGTTTAAATCCATTTTCCCTCATTTCATCACTATAGGATTATGTAAAAAAAAAATCACTCCTCTACACTTTATCACGGACAGAAGCATAATTAAGTGACAGCGAACAGCACATTTCATCTCTGATGTTGTACAAGCATGTTGGAAGCATATACATTTGTTGTGAGTGTTCTGACAACATGCAGACACCTAGAGACAAAGAAAAAAAAGAGAAAAAAAAAAAAGAGAATAGACAACATAATAATGTTGTCTATTAAGTCATTCCTAAGTCAGTATGTCAAAACAGAATCAGTGAACTGTGTTTCTGAACACTAGGAAGTATGTCGTCCTTCTCTCCCTTTTTCCACTGTGTCAGTCCTCAATTAGAACTGCAGATAGAAGAAAAACAGCTGCAACAAGTACTTAAGTATGAGTTATCAGTCTTTCAATCTGGAAAAGAAACACATGTATTCAAGCAGAGCTTTAAGGTCAACTCTGTGATACTGTTTGCACTGAGAGAAGTAATGCATTTACCCCATTTCCTAAAGATCCTAAAGAGACATTTAATAAAGAGAGTAAGTTATATGAAAGCAAACAAAAGAAAAAAACAAAATCCTCAACAAAACACTAGGAATGCCAAAGAAGCAAAAATGCTTCAAAAGTGTCAGCTCCCCAAACACAGAAACACTGGTAAGAAAAAAGCTCAGAAATATGAACTCTCTCCTACCTAACCTGTGCAAGATTACTGCAGATAAGTCAGACAAACAACCTCCAATCAACAGCACCTGTTGACTTCCTACCAGCAAAATATTAGAACAACATGCTTGAATCCTTGTTTGGAAAAGACGTCACTGCTACTAGGATGGACCAAACTCTGAAGTGAGTGTCTTCCATGTGGGAATGTCTAAAGAGTTCAGAAGAGAACAGTAAGACATACCAAGTCTAAAATACATGATCTACAGGAAAGTCTTTAAAGATGGGCTGAGGAAGAAACTTACATAATGCTAAAATAACGCTAAAAAAATGCTTACATAATGCTAAAAATTGAATAGATTGTTGTGTGGCCATGATGAGCAGGGCAAGATAGTTGGGAGATAAAAGAAAAACAACATTTAATTCCAAAGCATTAAAAAGACCATCAAGAGATAACGTAAGATCAATTTGCATTATACAAGTTAACTAGAGAAGAAAAGCATTACATAAAATACTTATAAAGATTTGGACTGGCTGTATGTCACAATTAAGAAACAAGAGAACTAAATAAGACTGTACACTTGAGGGCAAATTTGGAATTTTTCCTTAAAAGATCAGATGGATACACGTATCCAACAAAAAGGGAGATGGGTTTTGTGTGAAGAAATGGAAGAAAACATCACAGAATAAATACTAACTCCACAAATACCTTTCACAGGAATTGGTTAGATGACTATGTGCTGCACTGAGCAAAAATAAAAATCCGTTTATCTGAATTACCAACTAACATACACTTGTTCAATTGTTCAGATTGTGAAGACAAGTTCAACAGAAAGTATCTGTGAGGACAGCTTATATAGCAATAGTACTTATATTTTATACACGTTAGCTGCGGCAAAAAAAAATTACTAGTATGTAATTTGTGATACTATATGCACCATATATTGATGTTGTTCAGACTTAAAGGAAATACGAAGACATAGCATAATAGCAAATAATTTACATTATGCAAGTATTAAATACATTCTTGTCCTGCAATACTTTGCAAATGGAATTAAGAATAGCAACACAGACACAGAGCTAAAGGCAAAGACCTTTTAGATTATACAAGCTCGTAGAAGTCTTCCCAGAGATGCAGTGAAGTTAGCCAGTACCAAACCATAAAGCTATGCAGTATCTCCACTTGAACAAATTTTTCACAATTGCCAGGACTATAACTACTTTCTAAAATGGTAAATCACTGATAAATCACACCAGGGAAGAGAATGGGAGAAGAAACAAAATCAAGTTTGGGGTGTTTTTTGTTTGTTTGTTGTTGTTGTTTTTGGTTTTGGTTTTTGTTTTTTAATCTGTCTCAATACAAAAAGGTGATCCTCTCCCTCTGTAAGTATCTTAAGTGTGGGAGACATGGCCAGCCTCTTTTCAGTGCTCTGTGGGGACAAGATAAGGGGAAATTGCCATAAACTGGAGCATAGAAAGTTCCACACCAATATGCAAAAGAACTTCTTTATGGTGAGAGTGACAGACCACTGGAACAGGCTGCCCAGGGAGGTTGTGGAGTCTCCAGAGAAGACCTGTTTGTGCAGCCTGGTCTGCAAAGCCTGCTTTGGCAGGGGGGTTGGACTCAATCTCTAGAAGTCCCTTCCAACCACTACAATTTTGTGATTCTGTGACTCCTGTATTTATAAGTCAAAATGAGAAAAACCCTAGCAGTAACTTGGACACACACTCCTACTCCCACAGGGCTGAGGCTCTAGGGAGAGCAGAATATAATCTGGTTAAAATCTTCTACTGGTGTATGCTACCTGCCAGTTGACAGCAACTCTGTAAAGCAGAGGCAACCTAAGCAGATAAATCCTTTCGGTAAATTTTGAAGCACGTCACACCAGAAAACCATATCCCAACAGCTTTTGCTTTTAAATATTTGAAAAATAACATATTTTCCACATTAAGAAATCCCTTCTTAAGTAATACAACCTTCCCTAATTACATATGTACTATTTACACCTTATCTTAAAAGATGTGAAGTCACCAAAATGACATTACTTTCAAAGATACTCGCAATGAAGTATAGATTTAGGTTGGATATCGGGACAAAATTTTTTACAGAAAGGGTTGTTAGGCACTGGAATAGGTTCCCTAAGGAGGTGGTTGAGTTGCCATCCCCAGATGTGTTTAAAATCTTTTTGGATGTGGTGCTCAGGGACATGATTTAGAGCAACATTGTTAGAGTTATGGTAATATGGTTAGGTTGTGGTTGGGTTTGATGATCTTTAAGGTTTTTTCCAACCTGAGAAATTCTATGATTCTATGATATATAACATGCATTTTGCATACAGATTTGTGAGTTTCCAGAATAATATTTACTACATTGAAAAGATTATGTTAAGCAGTTTTGTTCTTGCACTTTACTTGCTTTTCTGCATTTCACTGAATTCAGCATTTTTCCAAATTAAATGTTTAAAAATAAGATAAGCAGTAAAAGCACTCAATCTTTTTGACTCCCTACTAGCTTCTGAGATTTCTGTAAAAAAACAAATGGCAGATTCTGTCAGATGCCTTTGCCAAGACGTAAACTTGAAGTCTTATGTTCTACATGGAACTAATGTCAGGACATAACTACAAAGAGCTTAAATTGCTGGGTTTGTTTACTGCAACAATGATGGATAAACTGGTACAAGCCTGAAAAAACTGAAGGTGCCAGTAACTGACAAAAAGTGCTTAAGAGCTGCTCTCCTATTTAACTAAATAAATCTGTCAAAATTGCATTGTGCTTATCTACATTAGCCATCTGACTTAAGACCACTTCGAAAAATCTTTCTAGAAATGCAGTCATCACTCAGCTTCTTAGATTTTGTCATATATAAAAAGGCTTATCTGTATATTCGAGTTTTAAATTAAAAAAAAGTTGTGCCAACTCAGCTTCTAACAGGTTTATATAAACTGAATATATAAAATAGTATTTGCAGCCCACTCAAGTTAAAAAATGAACCAACTTAATTAAAAACAAGTTGCATCGTTGGACAAAAAAGGCTTCATAACAATAGAAGAGGGCACTGACATTCTGTCACTTTCCACAGTTTAAGAGATATTCACAACGTGCTATTTGCTCATTCTTTGAATTCTCTTTCTTGGACAAGATTGTCCAGTTACTTTAAGCTAAAGCACTTATTTCATCTAAAACAAATTTTCCATGAAGACTGATAAGTCTTAAAGTCAGAAAGCAAAAGGCAAAGTCTACTTTTAGGGCTCTCTGTAAGACCATTTCCTGCAAGTTTTTCAGGTTCTATAAAGGTCCTCTGTACATTATTAGTGACTGATGAATAACTAACTTAGAGAATTTTATCTTAAGTGTTCTTCAATTGTGTTTGTGTGACTGCGCAGGTATCATGAATACCTTTTTTTAAAAAAAAAAAAAAAAAATTACTTCTGAAGTACTCTACTACTTCAATAAAGCAGAGTAATTTTTATTCATTTCCCAAGTCAAAAGTGTAACGCAATGCAAAGCCCCTCATTAAATCATCATCACGCATTAGGAATGTAAGCATCAGTGGGTCATTCAAAACTGCAGCTGCATAATTAAGCTTTTCTAATACTTAAGAACTCCTTTTTTAGACAAAAGTATAGAGAAAGTTTCTTTTTTAAAATATCTGCAGTAGCAAAACTTCACAGTTCAAATTTCAAATATGTTTCCCAGTACAAGTCAAGAATGTCAGTAACAGTAAACTGTTTCCTTCGCATTTAGAAATAATTATTTTAGTCAGCTATACTTGTTTAGAGATTCTCCTTCAGACATCTCTGGAGACTTAGCTGTTTTTGCAGTTGCTTCCATTGGAGCAGTTTCACCTCACTAGAATAGTAAACAGAAAACATACACTCTTTGTAAGTCATATTAGGAAAAACCCTGCAGGTCTAAACATGATGTATTTGACAAAATTTGTTGGAAAGGGGAAAAAAAACCAAAAGAAACAAAAACCCAGAATCATAAGAAAAAAGTTCATCTAAGTGACTGTATGGACTAATAAAATGAAAAGAACTGGAAAAAACAATTTTCCTGTACTTTTATTCAAAGATGCATGAAGACAATAACCCAATTATGAATACCAGTACTTGACAACAGTGTATCTCTGATGCTTGCGGTTTTTATTTTCCACTACTGAAACAGTAGAGTTTATATTTCATCTTAGAAGTTTACATTTTCTGTAACACTTCACTGGCCAAATAAAACCAGTAGCATACTTATTTTCATTCCACTGGTAAGTATGCGTATTAAAAATATAAAAAAAAATAACAACAACAAAAACCTTGTAGCTTCAATGAATCATTAACAATTAAGGTACAGATACACTTCTAGAATTGTTTAGACAATCCCAATTTAATCGCACTTCCACCATACATGACACATCACAAGAAAGCTTTGATATCTGCACTTGTACCTTAAGTAGTAATACTACTGAACAACAAAAAAAAAACAAACAGCTAGGGGAAATAAGCAGGATCTCAGAATCCTCAGAGTCGGAAGGGACATGTAGTCCAACTCCCCTGCAATGAACAGCAACAACACAGCTAGATAAGGTTGCCCAGGGCCTTATCCAGCTTTGCCATTAGAGTTTCCAGGAACGGGGCAACAACCACATCAATGGGTAATCTGTTCCAGTACCTAACCACCCTCACTGTAAAAGATTTTTTCCTTATCTCTAACCTATACCTGCCTTCTCTGTGCTTGAAACCATTTCCCCTGTTCTGTTTCACAGACCTTCTAAAGTCTGTCTCCTTCCCTGTAGTTGCCCATTAAATACTGAAAGGCCACTATCAGCTCTGCTTTCTGGGCTGCAAGGGCACACTGCTGGCTCATGTCCAGCTTCCCATCCACTAGTACCCCCAGGTCTATTTCGGCAGGACTGCACTCAATCATTTCATCCCTTGACTTGTATTGGTAATGGGGGTTGCTTCAACCCAGGTGCAGGATCTTGAATTTGGATTTACTGAACTTCATGATGCTCTCCTGGGCTCACTACTCAAACCTGTTTAGGTCCTTCTGGGTGGTATCCCATCTCTCTGGTGAGTCAACAGCCCCCCACAGCTTGGTGTCATCAGCAAACTTGCTGAGGGTGCACTCAACCCCACTATCAATATCACTGATGAAGATACTAAAGAGCATTGGTCCCAGCACTGACCCCGGAAGGACATCACTCATTACCAGTTTCCATCCAGACACTGAGCCACTGACCACCACTCTTTGGACTCAATCCTGCAGCCAGTTCTTTGTCCACTGAACACTGCAGTGACACAATCAGAGAAGGCCACTAGGTTGGTCAAGTAGGATTTGCCATACTGGTTCTCCCAGATCACCTTCCTGCCTTCCAGATACTTTAGCATAGCTTCAGGGAGGCAAGCAGTTATCAGGGAAGACTGAAGGCGAAAATAAAACTGAACTTCACTTTCTTGAGCCTTACACAGTTCACTCCATCTTCAGTATATTAGACAAGCTAGTTTTGCACAATTAGATAAAACCATATTTACACAGATGATCACTTGCTTTGAAAAGCTGGAATACTTAACCAACAGCAAATAGACAAAAACAGACTTTCCCAACAAAGTTTTTGGTAATCCAAGTACATATCAATGAATGAAGTAGACAACTGAAGTTCCTAACTTTTTTCATCTTTTTGACCAATAAATAACAAGTCACACTCTGTCACCGATCCTGGCAGGCTCTGAAATATTCTTCAGTGGTGCAGCCAGCTAAGCACCGCTGGACCACACAAAACTGTACTACAGCTTTGCAACATAAAATCTTAGGCCCAATGACAAAGCTTCACTGGTAGTTGGTATTTTGTAGCAACATCAAATACAAGAATCCCACTTACTTGAATATTAGAAAAATTCGTAACTCATTTCAGTTAAAAGACAACTTTGTCCTCACTCAGCTAAATTTTGGCTGGCTTTTATTCAAGAACTTTCACCACACTTTTGCTACAAGTTCAGCTGTTCAGTATAAAAAATAGACATAAGTTCAATAAGCTACAGAACAGCATTAATCACAACAATGAATAGAAAGCACAACTTTAGCCTAAAAACATCCAGACTTTGATTAACAGAATACTGCCTACAGTGAGAACCAGACAATGATGGTGGACACAATTATATATTCTACCATATATTTAACTGCTCCCCAGTTGCAAGATCCACTTCCACTTTCTATGTTATCTGTTCCCATTCTGCTAGAAAGAGGAAAGAATATTCTTTAAGAGCTTTTTTTTTCCCCAGCAGATTCCCAAATTAAAACTGTCTTTTTGGCAGCCCGTTTGTCTACAGAGAAAGGCATAGAATAAGCAAGAAATTCTACCATAATGTCACCTCTATTGTTCACTGAGAATAAGCACACTCAACACTTACATTTCATCACTGCCACTTTGTCTTTCAAATACCCATTTTCCTCTGTGGTCAAAGCCATCAAACTTTTGTTTATTCCACCACCTCTTCCTCTACCTTGCATTTCATCTCTTCCTCTTCCACATCCTCTTGGCCTTTCATAGTCTAATTTCTCAATAGGTCTAAAAAGACTTGTAGTCGAGTACAAGGAGAAAAAAATCCTATGTTTACTTTGTGTAACTGTGATATCAGTATAGGGGAGCTACTGTAAAATTTTTTAAATCCACATCTTTACATAATACAGTACAATTGTATTAGTTTTAGCATTAAAGTAAGAATTATTACACACAATAGGAATAGCAACTTTAGTCACTGATGAACAGAAATATTAGAGAAGTTTAATAAAACACTATAAAGCTGTCATGTCTTCAGTGATTCGAATAATAACTCCACTCTCAAATTCAGATTCATATGCAACTACAAATAAGTTTTAAAATATCAACTACATTCACAGACAGTAAGAAGAGCTATACTCTTCACTGTTAGAAGTTTGTGGAATTATTTTAGTACTTAGAACAAAAACAAAATCTGCGTGTTCACTGTCTAAGTAGCAAGCAGTACAGCAAGGTATAGTTTCAGTTTGAACTGTAAAATTTATTCTACTTTCAATCTGCACCAGATATCCCAAAAAATTTGGTAACCAAATGTATTTACATTACAGACTAAGGGCTAAGTTTTCAGATCTTAACAATTCTTAGTTTTGCCTTCACAAAACAGTTCCATACCAACCTGCAAGGAAGCCAAAATTGCAGCTCTGCCAGACATAACTAATTTGTACTGCACCAAATCTACAAACTAACAACACTTTAAGTCACTTTTGGCTGTGATATCTGCTTAAGAAGTTTAACTCTTTCTCTCTCTTTCCCATCCCATATACACTTTTCCTTTTTATGAGGCACCTTATGATCTTCTACATGATACATACCTCTTAGCTGTGAGTTCTGCTTGACTTTCTGTTTCATAAGATGAGTATTCCATGAATAACGGCCTCCATTCAGTTTTGTCTTGTTTCTCTGCTCTGCTATTGTCTTTTCCTCCACACTCTTCTTGTTTAGGTGCTTGCTTCTGACCTACATACACACACACACACACACACACACACACACACACACACACACACACACACACAAACACACATTACTAAGAGTTTAACAATAATTGAATCATAGTTACTGTTGACTTAAGTGAGCTAACTACACCTTACAGACTTCAGCTTTAACCCTCCAGTCTCAAATCCACCCCAACTATTAAATGCCCCAACAGTTAGTCTTACCAGACACTGTCTTTAAATATATATACTTTCCCTTCCAGATTAGTGAGTCTAGCTCTCTTGTTGACACAGTTCAGTCACCTAAAAAACAACAAATAACAACAAAAACCAAAACCACAACAAGCTAGAGAAATTGCATTTTTTTTCCCTCTCACATGAAGTTACAAAAATGAAGAACAAAAATCGTTTCTTATGTTCTTATGTCAAAGATCTTGCTTACAGAACAAGACAGAGAAGCTTCTTTGGAAGACAAGAATTCCAAGACTGTTGCAGAATAAATGTCAAAAAGATCATTTCAGATTTATCAGCTGTTGATCAATGCATTTCGTGATAGATGAGCTAAATTTTCAAGCCTGAGCCTGTATTTCTCCTTTAAGCTCACAAATACGGCATACAATAAAATAAGGATCACCTATTGCAGCTCTAAAGAGAAGATAACTATTTAACACTGCCAGACATCAAGTTTAAACAAAAGATACCCAAGCAGCAAATACAGAGGCTACAGCTAATTCTAAAATGTCAGTATATTCCAAGACAAAATGTATTTAAGCTTTCTGGGATTTTTTTGTGGACATTGCTGAGGTTGAAAAAACTGATTGCAAAGGTACTGTGTATTGCAAATGACAAGTTGAGGTTATCCATTTAACCCAAATGCACCCTATATAACAACAGAATTCATTAAGTTCATCCATCCCTGTTTTCCCCAAATTGTCCTCTATTTAAGACAATCAAGGAACTACAGAAACATAAGCCTCAGACTAGTGAAACTGTGTTCTTTTTTCTACAAGCACCTGCGCTGCTGAGGAAGTTACTGAACTCAACAGGTTAATGTACAAATTATAGTCCTGGTTAATGTGCCTCAGCTGCAAGAATATACAAAAACCAATTCCATTACACAATATTAATATACAAATGAATTCCTAGTTCTACAGAAAATGTCCACATATAAAGATCCGATTTAAAGCTTGGCTAGCAAGCACGAAGTCTGCAACGTAATCTATAAAAGTAAACTGAAGAACAATCCACTCAGAGAATAAGATAAAATTGTGATAGATGAAGCCTCTTGCTATGCAATAAGGATAATCATATCTGTACACAGAAGGAAGTTTAACTGGTTTTCTTTAAGCTACAGACCACTTGAAATGATACATTCCACCTCCTCAAGATTTGGATTAACTCAATTCTTACAGAAGAAGGTGTTTTTTCATTCCCAAAACTACGATGAAATATCTGGATAAATGGCAATTTCTGAAATTAGTTTGAGAACTTTTTATTAAATTATACTAATTTGAAAAGCTTGAAATTGTAAAGAATACAGAATAGTATACACTGTCTGCTATATGTATATCCCAATTATGCCACCAATTATGCAAGCATTGGTTCTAAGCTGAAATCCTAGTTTTGGGAAACAAAAATACTTTTAATTTTTGACCACTTATTTTGATTGGATCTGAATGAGCAATTGCAACATAAGAGTGCATTTTTATTTCTGAGCCTTTCATTAGCTATTAGAAGCATTTAGAATAACTTTGCAAGAACACGAAGACCAATTTCCCTACATATTTAGCATTAACATCTATTCCACATACACACACTCAGAGAACTCCTTGAAACAACAAAGAGGTAACAGCCATTTAAAAGAGACTAGTGGTTCTGTTATACTCCCAGTACCTCTTACAAGTACTAGCACTGACCGTTGCAGATAAAGCAGATAGATCGTTGCTTCAGCATAGTTTATTCACTTTGATTTTAATAAACGGCCATACATACTGCAGAAGATTACTTGTGATACAAATCATATAAAAATACTTCACCTGGTTTGACAGACACACAGCAGTGGATTAAAACTAAATGGCTGCAGCAACCACACTTCTAATAAATGGTGTAATCCTTGAATCGATTACTGGCACAATTTTTCAGTTCAGCTTACAACAGCAAACCAAATTAGAATCTGACAGCTGTGATAGCATAAGCTATCCTATTCAAATTTACTGCTACATATATGTCCCAATTCAAACTTCCATGTAAGATTCCAAAGGCCAACAAACCTTATTGGAATTGCGGTTGACAGACAGGAAAGAGTAACACGTAAGTACTCTTGTGTAGGGTTGCCACAATGTCTTTCGCTTACAATGAACTGAGCTATGCTTTGAATGCTTATCAACAACTTCTGTTAGTACACTCCAATTTTTATATACTGGCTAGAGTATATATGTATTGGTACGCAACTTTCCTGCAAAATCACAGTAGGGTTTTGAGGATCTTTTACTTGAAATCTCACAAACTTTGCAATGGAAAACCTGAATACTGATCTTTTCTAGGTCAAATCTAGCCTCTCTTTAAGATGATTCTCTTGTTTCCTACAGCTAGATTTACATTAAGCTGAAGAAGACATCCACTATTACTCACTTCATCTCTAGCTCCATGGGAGGCTATTGTACCTGTCCAGTCTACCGGCTCAGTTGCCTATCACTTTACCTTCTAAATCAATATATTCAAATTGAAAATGTAATGAACTGAATGAACTGTTTCAAAACCAGCTTTTTTTTCCCCCCCCAGAAAAGACAGCTGAGCTATTACTTGAGAAAGACACCTCTAAACGGTACCAGACACTATACCCAGACATCACTAAGGAAAAGCTTGGTTTTTATGAGTTGTTGGTTAAATAGAACAGCCAACATACTGAAGTGTATTTTCACTTTGCCACCACAGTGCATTACTATCAGTATTAGTTTTGCCTATAAAACAGCATTTAGGCAAGGCAACACTCTAAAAAGTGTTTTTAATAAACATGTTTCACAGAAATCTGAGTTGCGAAAGCACATACTGTACTTTTTTAAGAACACACCTTTTCAGCTCCCTGCCACTGTATATCAACAGAAGGATTTTAAAACAATTCAGCCAAACAAACTGCCTTTGCAGTTGTGTCTAGCTCCCATCCAAAGTTCCTCTTGTTGTGTTGTCCTCAAACAGAAGACACTCTAACCTAAAAACAACACCTGTAACAGTCTCTCAGATGACTGTAATTCTTTCTACAGGTTACAAATTGAAGTCACACAAAAGATGCAGGCTTAACAGTAAAGACTACTTTTTCAGACTTACTGTATTCAAGAAATACAATAATAAAAAACTGTGAAGCTTAACACTTTTTGAAACCCAAACAAACAACACAATCAAGTAATTAGATAAACCTGTACAAGGTACAATGAATCATAATACCAGAACCTGATCCAGCTGATCAGACACAAACATGGTCCTTTGTAGTATTTAATTATGAAACAGTGAAATGAGAGAGTCAGGCCCTAGATCTGATAATTACTAAAGATATTACACTTTAGAGGAAAAAATAAGATTAATCACTAATATCAGAATTTAGTAATTTGTTATTACATATTTAACAGGAGCATATCATAGAAATGCAGCCATCACTAGAAGATTTGTGCCAAATTCAGCTGCTAAGATAAACCTTTCCAGTAGTTAATCATTCTCACCCATTAAGTTAGCAGCCCCCCTGTAACTTTTTTGGTATCCAGAAGTTTTCCAACTGAATTATGCACAACAAATTAACTTCATGTAATTCAAGCAAAAAGACGAATATAGCAGAGGTACACAGGCAGGCCCAGGTCTCACCTCTCTCCACCACACAATCTTATTTCTCAAGGAACCCAAGACACAAACACATAAGCATTCAAAATTCAGGATAACCACTTTTAAAGGAGAAAGTACTTTTTATGTCCCTAATAAGAAATAATTCCTCAGGTAGGTGCTTATTCACTTTCCTAAAGTCTACTACCAAAGCCAGCAGTATTTTTCCCTGCTTAAATTATCAGTAAAGTAAAACAAGGCATGCATCTGATGCCTTTACCTGCAGAAAGAAGGTTTCCTTACTATCAAGGTGTTGTAACCTTCACCCGTTCGTTTTTCCTGGGAGATTGCAGCTTGGCCAATTACGGAGGTGACACCAATATGGTGAACAGCAAAATGGCACTTTAATGGAACGAACACGTGCTTATATATGGAGGAGGAGGTCCTAACGCGTTACAACCCGAAGAGGGCGCAAGCGCCTAATACAACACAAGGTAGCAGAAAATATTCAGTCCATCAGGTCATGGGGTAATACAGAGGATTACATTCAGAACCTGTATGCTCAAGACATCAGTGGAGAAGTAGGAAGTGAAGATGGCTTTCACATACTTCACTGTCCTGATGGACACCTAATAGCACTTGTGCAACAACTTTTTCATCAAAGCTTCACCCTGCTGTTCACTAACAGATTCCTCTGCTTTCTACTGGTAACCACAGCAAATAACCCTGAAAATGAAGGAGACCTGGTGCTAAAATGAATGTCTATCTTCCAGGCAGAGATTTTTGACAGTCATGTTTCTATCTCAGAAGTACCTCAAAAAAACAGTCCAAAACAACTGCCTAAAGCAACAACCTATACAATTGTCTTCTACAAAGATGCATATCAACTAGCACGTATTTGGCCCCACAAAGTCAAGTGATTGCTGCTGGAGTAGCATAAAATTAAACTTCAGGAATAGAGGTGGTAGCACTGACAACAACTTGATGGAACAATAATACTTCCACAGCAATTAATATGTATTTCCCCAAGGTATTAAAACTTACAGAATGGCTTGGATTGGAAGGAATTTCAGAGCCCACCCAGCTCCAACACCGCACAGTGGGTAGGTCTGCCACTCATCATCAGCCTGGCCTTGAATGCCTCCAGGGGTGGGACATCCACAGCAGTGTTAGAGCAGATGAACGGAGGCAGGCAGCTGCCTCCCGCTCCTCCCTCGCGTTTCTTAAGTTCCTATTTCGGCACTTACTGTCTGCAGCACAGAGGCCCGGACTCACATCGGCGCAGTCCGACCGCCTCTCCCTCAGCGGAAGCTCCCTCGGATCTCGCCACACTCCCGCTGCCCGCAGCACTCGGCCTGGATCGCATCACTCCCACCACCACCACCAGAGGCAGCGCCGCCCGAACCCGCACCCACGCCGCTGAGACGCCACCACTCCCCCGCGGCGCGGCGCCCCGTACCGAGCTGCTTGCGCTGCTTCTGGGGCTCCCTCTTGGCGGTAACCTCTCTGCCACTGGGGCTGCCCTGCCGGGCCACCACTTTGTTGAGGTTCTTGCGTTGCTGCTGGCGGCGCTCGGCCTCGCAGAGGTTGTCCAAAGGGTCCGACTCATCGTCCAGCAGCTGGTAGAAGCGGTTGGCGACAGTGCAGCTGAAGGTCTCCTCCATGATGTTAGCCACAGGGCAGCCCATCGCCCCCTTCATCATAGCCATTGCTACGGCCACGGACCCTGCCTGCTGCCCCAGGGCCGGGCCGGGCCGGGCCGCCGGCGGGTCTTAGCAGAAGGCGGTGGGGAACAGGCAGCGCACCGGCTCAGCGCCACACATCACCGCACGCCCCTGTTTCAAGGCTTTCCAGCCAATCACGCCCCAAACTGCCGGCTGTCCGCACCCACCTCCTACCAGCACTGCCGACCCCTCCCTGCCAATCCTAGACAATGATCAGCCAGTCCCTGCGTAGCCTTGTCCAGCCCTGTTTTGCTGCTGCAGCCAATTAGAATGCAGCGCCCTGCAGAGCCAATAATTGCCCACTGACCAGTCGGTGCAAGGGATGAATCTTAGAATGATTAAGGTGGGAAAAAATGTTTAAAATGGTCTAATCCAACCTACCTCCTGTCATTAATATTTCCCCACTAAACCATGTGCCTTGTGTACACGTTTATGTGCCATACATACACGTTTCTTGAACACCTCCAGGGACAATGACTCCACCACCTCCCTGGCTAGTCTTTTCCGATACCTTACTGCTCTTTCAGAGAAAAAACATTTTCTAACATCCAATCTGAACCTCCCTTGGAGAAAATTGAGGCCATTCCTTCTTGTCCTATCACTGTTAACCAGGAGAAGAGGCCAACTCTGCACCATAGCCACCATTCAGGTATTTGTAGGCAGTAATAAGGTCTCCCCTGAGCCTCCTATTCTCTAGACTCAGCAATCCCAGTTCCCTCAGCTGTTCCCCATAAGACTTGTGCTTCAAATCCTTCACTGTTTTGCTATTCTCTGGACAAGCTCCAGCTCCTCAATGTCTTTCATGTTGTGAGTGGCCCAAAACACAGCATACAAGATGTGGCCTTACCAGAGCTGAGCACAGAGGGACGATCACCTCTCTGCTCCTACTGGCAGCACTATTTCTGAAACAAGCCAGGATGCCACTGGCCACTTTGACTACCTGGACACACTGTTGGCTGTTGAACCAGCTATCAGCTGACACTCCCAAATCCTTTTCTTCTACACAGCTTTCCAGCCACCCTGCCCCAAGCCTGTAGCATTGCATGAGGTTGTTGTGACAAAGTGCAGGATCCAACACTGGATCTTGTTGAACCTCATACAATTGTCCTCAACACTGATCCAACTTGCCAAGCCCCCTCTGTAGAGCCTTCCTATCCCCAGGCAGATGAACATGTCCACTCAACTTGGTGTCATCTGAAAACTTACTGATGGTACATTCAATACCCTCATCCAGGTCATCAATAAAGATATTAAACAGGACGGACACCAATATTGACCCCTCGGGAGTACCACTCATGACCAGCAACCAGCTGGACATAACTCCATTCACCATCACTCTCAGGGTCCAGCCCTCCACCCAGAAAAGAGTGTACCTGTTCAAGCCGTGAGCTGCCAGCTTTCCTAGGAGAACACTGTAGAAGACAGCATTAAAGACTTTACTGAAGTCTAGTCATCAGCAACAGCCTTTATCTCGTCCACCAGGTGACAGATTACCCAGCCATAGAAAGAGATCATGTTGGTCGAGCAGGACCTGCCTTTCATGAAGCCATGCTGGCTGGGTCTGATCCCCTGGTTGTCCCACACATGCACACACATTCAATCTGTTCCACAACCTTCCCTGGCACCAGGGTCACACTCACAGGCCTGTAGGCACCAGGGTCACACTCACAGGCCTGTAGGATCCTCCTCATGACCCTTCTTGGCAATGGGAGTCAAACTGGCAAGCCTCCAGTCATCTGGGACCTCTCCAGTTGACCAGAATCACTAATAGATAGTGGAAAACAGCTTGGCAGTCACCTCCACCAGCTCCCTCAGCATCCTTGAATGGAACTTATCTAGCCCAAGGACTTGTGGCAGTCTGGATGGAGTAGAAGACTTAACTTTCTCGTAACTGTCTTGTCTCCACCTGGAATCTCAGGGGGTTTCTTCTGCTACCCATCCCAGAGTCAGGAGGCTGAAATGCAGGCATGCACCATGCAGAGTAGCTTGAGAGGGTGAAAGACTATCTACTGCTTTCTAACAGTGTTTTGTGCTTTGAGGATGTTGAAGAGTGGGAGGAAACAGAGAGGATATATGGGGTGTTCCCCAGCAGCAGGCATAGGATTGACTTGGAGTGCTTGGTAAGTCACCTGGCATCCCGTTCAATCGTCTTGCTTGTCTCTGTTGTGGGTGCCATCTCATCACAGCATTAGAGTAAGGCCTTTGGCTTCTGGACTTTCTTTAATTTATTAGCTTCAATTCTAATTATATTGTATTATATTGTATTATAATTATAATGTGTTATCTTGCATTCCAATATCTTATTTCTTAAATTAATTTGTTTTTACTCAGATCATTGCCGCTGTTTTGTTTTAGGCCTATCTCTCTATCCTTTTCCATTATCCCTTCCCAGGGCACAGATCTGCAGGTCCCTCCGCTCCACTTGTCATGCAACAGGGCCAAATCAGCCCATGAACAGTTGACAGACTACCGCAAATAGTCCCATTAACCACAGCAGAAATATTGGTCAGTGCCAGAGCTGTCTGGGAGCTACAAGTGCCTTTATCACCTCTCATGCCCATGACTAATACCAGCAGCTCCTGGAGGCCCCAATGCCTGTCCACCCCAGGTGCACACATATTCAATCTGTGCAGGTGCAGATCCAACATCCCTGCACTGTCTTGTCAGCTACAGCAATCCAATGAATGCTATCAGCATGGCCTTCAGGGCTCCATGGCCAGCAAAGGGACAGTCAGTGATTTCTGTGAGGATGTTCTGTTCCAGTATTCATGGATCACTTCCTCTGTTTTTAGAAAGCATGTTGATAACTTTGTTGTATACTCCATCTGTTCTCAACTTCATCTTGTCCTTAGCACAAGGCCTTAAAACTAAGAAAGCCCCTGCCTATGCTTCAGAGCTGTCTGCCACCTCCCTCTGTCTCTAGAGAGGCCTAGGTGTATCTCCTGAAACAAAACAGGTCCTGCCTTAGCCCAGGGCCTGAAGACTTTGTGCATCACTCACAGCTTTCATCTGGATCCATTTATGCAAGGCACGTCTCCTCACCATACTACTGGCTACAGAACAAAACTTAGATTATTAGACTGTGCTCACTATATCTTCTTCCTCATTCAGAACATCATAAATATGTTTGCATCAGTAGGAATAACAGCAATTAAGGAAGGACTGCTCACAAACAGCTATATAAAATTCTGGTAATTGGATCTGATCTCCTGGGCTCTAACATACTGTAGAGGAAAGCAGGAAATTTTTGCAACTGAGCAAAAAGAATATATGTTATCATCACTTCTGCAGAGCTCTTAAGTTGAGAATAGCAGCCAGACACAACAGTAACAAAATTCTAAAGTAGTCTCATAAATAACACACGCTAATAGAATATAGAATGCTTGTAAGAAATGTTTACCTAGACAAACTGTTCCTGTTTTGAAGGTCACCATATTTTACAGAGAGATGAATATGAGAACAGATGTTTTATGAAACCTAGTTTTGTTTCCACGAAGTTTCATAAGAGACAGCAAAAAGTACAACTCCTCATAGAAATACTACAGTGATAGCTAAAAATTAGTAGTTAAAAACCTACAAATACAAGATAGATTTATATTTTCTAAAATAAACATAAACCTCTAAAAAGAGTTCTTATTTCTTTGATTCTTTGAATAATGAATCAAAATACAATTTATGCACTGCAGATTTCCAACATTGATTGAAATTGATTAGAAGTTTGGCATGGGATATTGAAGAGAACCTGTTATATCTATTTGCAAATTTACACTACATAGTCAGTGTGAGAATCTGAGGTTACACATACAAACAGCAAAAAAAAGGACAAAGAAGATTTAAAGGTAACATCTGATATGAAACCAAGCCTTCTGCCTGAATATACACCTGAACATACACTGAATACATAATGGCAAGAGAAGTGAGAAGAGGTCTTCATCTCATGTTTGCAGCGCTGTGCATCGGTGTCTTACTTCTGACAGCAGATCTCCCAGTCATGAAGACCGTTCTGTCCCAGAGTTGCTTCTCTATTCTGATTCTCACTGTAAGTCGCTTTCTCCATGTGTGCAGAACAGCAAGTTTGTAAGATGTACAGACATTGAATACATAACTTTGTTACTGAAAATGATAACAAAGAAAACTCTTCAAACCAAATGATGATTTAGAAAGCTGACATTAGTTTATTACAACACTGAACACATGGGGATCTCTCCACCTAGCCACGCACACTCCAAAGTTAAATCACCCTCATTTTATGTATTCAAGATACAAATTTTCACACTGTTCCAGTGAAGTTCCTGTCTATTCTTAGAATTGTCATAGACACCAAATATAACACTGCACTTGCTTCTACCAATCAAGGGATCTTTGTTGATCTTTTGGTTTGCCCATATATGATGCTGTTATTGGGGAACGCAAATTGCTCTGTGGCTTCTCTTTGTGTACATGGCTCTTCGGCACCTTCCCACAATGTTTACACAAAGGGATTTGTGTTTGGAACTAGACTTGTTTTGTCTTTGAATATTAAATAACTTTTGTAAGTCTTTGGCTTCTATTTTCAACAAATGACTCTTTAATTTTTTTTAAAGGGCACAAGTGCCTAATTACAGGAGATGTGTATGGAGAACAGAGTTTCTCTGACCTTTACAGCTAAGCCTTGTCCTTTACCTTTTCTACAGCCACTTTCTCATCCACCGACATGGCTCCGGTTTTCCGATGTGTAAATGTACCCTGCCTTAAACATAAACATCCCAGAGGGATCATACACCTCAAGGTCCTGTTTGGGGGCAGAGGGTCTGGTAGAGGCTGTGATGCTGTGTCACTTTTTGGATCTAGATATTACATACATTTTCCAGTAATGAGATTCTATGGAACTCCATTAATTACATAAAATTTTAAACTGAATTATACATAGCTACATCAGTAAAGGGGGACCTGCTTACTGTAACTACCATTTTTATACCACCTTCAGAAGATGTGACAATAGTCTTGTTTCATTTTCCTCTCTCTAGAACATTCAGTAACTGGACTGAAATAAGCTACTAACACACACACACAAATATTGTCTTACAAGGACAACTGACTTGATATAAAGCAGTACTTGGAAAACATAGTAATGAACAGGTAAAAAAGAGATACTATGAATATGGCTAAGTTATTATGTAAGTATATTT